CCTGATCCTGAGTATTTACTTACGATTAATTTCTGTTACAACATAATCAGCTAAAAAGGGTTGGAAAGAGAGAAAAGAGAATGTCATTTTATGGTCTTTTTTGTTTGTCATAAGTTACAAAATTGTTAGGGCCTTGGGACCCATNACCCATGTCTGGACTCCAGAGGTTTACGTGACCCTACAAAAAGAAGTTTCTTCGATGTGAAACCTAAGAATCTTTACCTATCATTATAAATTGCGTCTATTGGGGCTTACAATTCGTTATAGTGGATTTCTTTTCATTTCCATACTCGAAGCAGTGACATACACGTGTATATTATATCCTCGTGGTTCAGGAGAGTTGGAGTTTTCCCCACAGTCACATGCGATCGTCTTTTTATTTTCTTTCTGTGTGATGCATACGCGAGAAATTTATGATAAGAAGGAATACTAAAGGTACCGAACTATGCATTTTATCGCATGACGTTAATTTGAGTTTCATAAATAAGAGAAACCGGCTGAAGGGACTCTTTCTGCTTCTATTCCGGCCTCCTAAAGAGATATTGTAACCGGAATGCATACTGGGATTAGGGGAATCTTCAGAAGAACTATTTTCACGGTCTCTTGTTGGCTGTCCATAGACATTCCTTATCTCGTACGTTAGAATATCGAAGAGCGTGCGTTGATTTTGATAAAGGGACGTACTTTTGACTGTCACATGGATGTGAGAAAAGAGCGCAGAGTTTTGCGGATCGTACGTTAAGTTTTGAAAAATGTCCATCGAGATATGAAATAGGGCTCTAGCAATTGGCAAAAACTGTAATGCATAATTAGCAGATAGAAAAAAACTATTTTGGTCGAATATTTTTCTTCTGAATATTTTTCCTCAAATTGCTCCGTCATTCCAAGCTTTATGATGTCATGTGTGAATTTCATTCCATTTATATTCAAGGATTTCTAATGTATCATGTTTGAAATGTCGCAACTTTTTTCATGCAAATTATGCGCGAAATAGAAATAGTTTCTCGAGTAGTTTCTCGAGGCCTCCAACCTGATATACAGATTTGATTTACACCACTGGAACTCGGCAAATTTGTTTTAAAAGGGTGTTGCTACCTTAAGTTAAGTTTGCCTAAAATGCCCGGGAACCAGGGGTATGATAGCATGTATTCGTCCGGTTCACAATGTGTTACAAATAAAATTAATAAAAATTGCCATCCCCACCGTGAGCAAATCTCGAATCCAAAATTCGCGATAAAAATGGCAATTTTGGGGCTAATTCACCACAAAACGAACCCAGCTTGTATCTTATTCATATCTACCTGCTTGGAAATGTTCGCATTGGTCAGCCCAATATTTTCGTATTTTTCTTCTTAGTTATTACTATCAACCAAAGTGTGGACAGACAGACGGACAGGACGGGACCATAAGTGATCTCTTTCTATTCAGGAAAGGAGACCCACTGAATAGTCATTCCGTAACCTGAGCCTCACTTTAGGTTTTCGCAACTGGAATCGATTCCCCCTCGTTCGGCTGTTACCATCCGGTAGAAAAAAAACCTATCGCGCTCCACGTTATCGATTCCCATAATGATTTTAAAGAAACTTGGAAGGAACGAGATTCCATTCTGAAGTCTGATTCATCTGAAATGTAAATGCATGCGTTAAGGTCAACTAAATTGAAGTTACAGGAAATCAAAATGTCAAATGTTCATTTTTTAATGTTCGAAGCTTGTATAAAATAGAACCTGGGCTATTTATGTGTCACCAGTGAGATACTTCCAGGCCTGGTTGCTTCACCAGGATTCCCATCCTTAGTAATTTGTGCAGTACGTTTCGAGAGGAAAATTGGCAAGTTCAAAAGTTTGAAAAAACGTACTGATACGAAAATGAAAAGTAACAGCATGAGTGAAGTGAGAATGGGGAAAGCTTTCGTTTCACCATAGTTTCAAGCTTTCATCTTGTTTGAAACAGGAAATATAAGCCGTCAAAGTTGTGAAAATAGGGAAAATTGAACGTTTCAAATTTAATTTGCCGCTGTTTCAAACAAAGTAGGAAGTTTAAAATTTAGTTTTTCACATCGCTATTGACTAGTTTCGCAATGTTACAGAAGTTCTTTGTTACCATTGTTCCATATTTGCTTGTAAGTTTTGGTATTAAAATATTTCCTTATTTACAGCTTATTTTATTGTACAGTGGTCGTCAAAATTAACGTACCAGGATATTCTCGAAAGATAGGGAATCCACGCGGCTCAAACGTTTTGCATAGGACAGCTGGCCATGTGTGCTGATCCGCCTAAAAAACTGGGTGACTAGTTCGTTACATCCCAGTTACGCAGCTGTTTTTCATCGGCGTGAGGAAAAATGTTACTTTCAATGAAGAATCGCTGCGAGGTTGATTTCATGCCGCTCGTCCCTTGCGTCCGAAGCTCTATTCTGCGCCATCGCAAAGTACAAAAAGATCTCAAAGCCAACGAAGGCAGATTGGCTTAAAATACCCTGTATATCGAGAGACGGGAATGGTGGAGGGAAGTGTGATCGCTCGGACTGCCAAACACCTGGGTAAGGTGCATGCTTGGGGTTGCCTCTATGCTGGATTGGGAAGATCTGCACCTTCACCCAGAACCTGGCTGCGCTGAAGACCATTTATGGGCGTGCCCTCTTGCCTTCTGCAGCTACAATGTTTCCCGTTTCAATGAAGACGTGGGCGCTGCAGGAGGACAATGATCCAAAGCACACCTCAAAGCAGGCGACCAACTGCAGGGCTGAGAATGGGGTGTTCCGTTTGGACTGGTCGTCGCAGTCTCCCGACCTCAACCCCATAGAGAATGTGTGGGTTCTCTTGAAGGTTAAAGTGACGCATCGGCACCCCAGAACGATCAAGACTCCTTAGGAGTGGGAGAATCTGGGTGAAGAATTCGCCAAAAAAAATTGGCAGACTTGATGCCGGACCGATTACGTGCTGTAGTCGAAGAGCAGGGCGATTATATTCTGTATTGAGATCAGGGCTCTGTATGTACTTTATGTTGATATAAAAGGTTTTCTTACATCTCTCGTTGAATAAGAGATAACCCTGGCACATTGATTTTGACGCGTGCTGTAAATATACCAGATAATGCATTTCGTGATGTCATTCTGCATCTTCTCAGTTTTAATTGAAATTTTAAAAACGCTTTCGTTGCTCAACTAAGACCAAATACAGTGCTTTGACCCCAAAGGTCTTCTTCGGGGTGAATTTTGAGGCTACGTATCTCGCAAACCGTTTCAGCCAGGACGTCGAAATTTTCCCATTTTGCGGAACTCTTGGAGGTCACCATACATACATTTTTTTCAGCAAATCGGAATCTGAAACGCAACGAAATCCAATAAAATTTGACCACTTGAATCGGAATGTCTCTAGAGTGAAATGTGAGGGAAAGATGGGAAAGAGACAATCGAAGCTTTCCCGAAAACCTGATGGTTTCGCTGAGGTCCCTTGCCGTTGTGAACCTCAAGGGGTGGCCAGCAGATATGAGGAATGGAGTCACCTCCTCCGCTCCACCTCCCACCTATGAGAGACTGACCTTACCTGGGGAGGAAGATCGACGACCCCAGAATCTGGACTGTCAGTTCTATTCAGTGGTTCCGTGTACTCGTATATGCGTGTGGATGTCCTTTTTTTCTGTCACCCGAGTGGACACCTCTCTCTCTCTCTCTCTCTCTTTCTAGTCAGTTGTCTTTACCTTGTTACAGTAATATACTCGTTCCTGTGGTTTAACCATCTCGTATTTCTTTACGGATCTCACCGGTACTACCATCATAATTGGAGTCAGATTGTAACTAACAGCACCCACATACGGACACGTCAGGAACACCCACACCGTGGACCCTCTCCAGGTCGATAGATAAAATCAACTGATGCCGTTCGGAAAGACAGCGAACAGGATTCGCCCAGTAGAGCCCCTAGAGAGACAGAGCCTGGCCAACTCCAGTCCCTATTTTCAACGAATCGGATTGGCTGCCGCGCCTGGGCGCCATTTTGATTCCAGGATCCCGGCATCGGCTACATGGGAAGGGTCAATCCCTTGGGCTTTTTGGTGATAATGCCCTGCCGTGTGGCTGTTGAATGCTCCAACAGGAGTAAGACTAGACATAGAATGCTTCGCTTCCTATCAAAGAGGAAACGTCTGGCCCTTTGGGCTGCCTAGGTGAAAAGACTGAACTGGACACCGACAGCGAATTCATACCTCAGTGATGTCAGTTGTCTGCTCAAAAAAAAATAATAGGCCGAAGTTCGTTACGTGAAGAACTCCGCCTCACTTCAGAGCATGCTTACATTATATAGACCTATGATGTACGTCTCTGCTGCTTACCGCTCTTTTTTTTTTAAGACGTATAAAAGGCCAAGATCTACTAGCGCTTTCTCTCACCAAAGTTATTTCCAAATTTTTCTCGCATTTTTCCCTTTTCTGGTCCATACTCATATCTGGCAAGAAAAAAATGTAATCTTCACTTATCACCCCTTCCACACCAATTAGGTCGAGGTCTGGATGAATTTAAGTTCTGAAATAGGCCAAACACGTGTGATGGATGGGTTGGTGACATTACAAACCCTGCCCAAGTAGGCCCAGGAATAATGAGTTAAGTTAGGAATAAGAGTTTTACCTTTCGTGTCTCGCAGACGGTTTCGCGCGAAATCCATGCTCGTCTTCCAATTTAAAAAGGCAAGAGTATTTGTTTATTCCAGTTTGCTTCGCGCGTAGATCATACGGACACTTACAGGATGAGAAGGAACGAAAGCAAGACATGGCAGAGACGAGAGGTTCCCCGTCAAGTAATCGTTGCACGGACGCGGGGGGGGGGTGGGGAGGTCGTCCATCTCGTGTGCCACGTGTCCTACTGTCCACGGTTTCTTGTCGTTCGTCACAGACCGTTGAGCAGAAATGTACAGCAATCGAGTGGAATCGCTCCATGGACGAACTATGATTTTGGCCATAGATTTGTCTTTTATTGTTCAACATATACAACAATGCAAATCAGAACACCTGGAGAAAAAAAAAAAAAAAAGAGAGAGGGAAATGCACGAACCTAATTTGAACGAGAATTTGACACATAAATATGGCATCTGAAAATCTTGTCAAAGGCACATCGAGTGAAAAAGTGACTGCTCCAAGGGCCACAAAAGATTTTTAAAAAAAGATATCACATCGATAGGCCTACTATCCCCCTAACAAATCAAACACGACGGGTCGTATCACAACTGGGATCGGGTTCCAAATAACTTAAAATGTGTTAAATTACGGAAGCAGAAAGATAGAAACAAAACATTTGATTGCAATGCAATGGAAGCCCGAAAGGACGAAAAGGAATGGCATCCGCTAAATACCAGACGATCGTTAGGGAATTTGGCCGCATTATCACACGAGAGGAAAGAAAGAGCGGACTCAGATGTGAAGCTCCGAGTCGCTGGGGATGGGGCGACGAGGCGCCGCACCCAGAGGCGAGATGGACGGCGAACGCGTCGCGAGGGGCGAAAGGGCGGGCGAAAAAGACGGCGACAACGCACCCGCCGTCAGGGTGCTGTCGTGAGACACGGGCGAACGAGGCAGGATCGGATGATGAACGGTATGACTAGTGCGCGTCGCGGTGCGCGGGGCGAGCGACGTGAGCAGCGGGGGAGGGGCAGGCGAACCTCCGCCGCTGCCGTCGTCCTTCATGCGGGCGATCTCGGAGAACACGTTAGCCAGCGGTTGGTACTGGGGGCCCCAGTCCAAAAGGTAGTCCCAGTTGTAGGAACCGGTGAGTTCTTCCTCGCTGTGGACGATGGAAGACAGGGAGCCCGTCATGGAGGGCTGGCCGAAGCTCCTGGAACCCCCGGGCCCTTCGAGACGGTTCGGCTGGGCGGAGCTCGCGGAGGCGGAGGATGGGGGTCCCCCGGTGACCAGAATCCGCGAGATGTCCATCTGACCTCCGTCTCCTCCCCCTTCCTCCGCGAAGGCGTGCATGCCGTCCAGGTGGTGCTGGGACGTGTGGCTCACCTCCGAGCGGGTCGTGTCGATCCCCAACCGAGCCAGGTACTCTTGCGTGTTCTGAGCGGAGACGTCGGACGCGTCGTCGTCTTCGTGCAGCCCGGAATCCGGCACGGATAGACGCATGGGTCCTTCGTTGATCATGCGGATCTCTTCGTCTTCCACGTCTTCGCCTTCGCCTTCCTCGGCCGAACCGCGGCCAGAGCTGGCGGACGCGCTGTGGCTCGGCTCGCTCAGTTCCGAAGTTCGGTGCTGCTTCAACGTCGACCCGGGCGTGCTTTCGTAATCGGGCAGGTCTCCGTATTGGATCTGGAAGGGGTCGAGTGGGTTCGCGGCGCGGAGGTCCAAGGTGTCGAACGCCGTGTCGTAGTGATGGTGTTCCGTTTCCGACGACGACTCGTGCTTCTTCTTGTACTTTCCTCGTATCCGCAAGAACAGGATGGTAGCAGCGAGGGCGGCGGCGACGAGAGCGAGAGCGACGACGAGTGCCAGCGCCCAAGGTGCCAAGCCGGCGACGGGAGGAACGTCTGCCGTACCCACCCCCAACGGACTCAAGCTGGGATCCACGAAGACCTCCACCTTGGCTCGGCTCTGTAGGGACCCGGCGGAACCGGAACTCGCGACCACGTCCAGCTTCACCGCGTCCTTCAGTCCTCGGACGGCCGTCTTGGTCGAGATGTCGCCGGACGACACGTTGATCTTGAAGTGCGGATTGGAGGAAGCGAAGCGATAGATGACGACTCCGTCCGGTCCTTCGTCCCGATCTTCAGCGTTCACCTTCCCGACCGAGAACCCCGCAGGCACTTCCGCCGGGATGCCGAACTTGTAGAGCGACGTGGCGAACTCGGGTCGGTATTCGTCGACGCCGTCCACGTGGACGATGGCGGAGGCGGAAGCGGTGAATCCCCCTACATCCTGCGCCAGCACCGTGAACTCGTACCGTCTCGTGTCCTCGTAGTCGAAGACGTGCTTGGTGTAGACGATCCCGGTGGAAGGGTCGATCCGGAAGTATTTCCCGTCTTTACCGCCGGTGATTGAGTAATTGAGCACGCCCGCCGGACCCCCGTCCAGGTCCACGGCCGGCATCTTCATCACCGATGCGTCCATGTCCGAGTTCTCGGCCACGAATCCGTGATAGATGGACGTGGGGAAGGCCGGCTTGAATTCGTTGCGGTCCTCCACGTTCACGATGACCTTGGTGGATCCCGACCTCGGGCCGTCGGTCGCGCTCACGATCACGGCGTGCCGAGTTCGCGTCTCGAAGTCGAGGGCTCCCTCGAGGGTCAAGATGCCTTCGGCCGGGTCGACGCGGAAGGCATCGTCGTCGTTGCCGCTCGTGATGGCGAACTCCACTCCTCCGGACGCCCCCGGGACTTCCAGTCTCAGCAGACTCTTGCCGGGCTTGGAATCTTCTGCCAGGTACATCTCGTAGTGCTCCTTGCGGAACTCCAGTCGACGGTCGTCGGCTTCTTCCACCCGAATCAGGACGGAAGCCGTGGCGTTGTTCTTCGGATCGCGACCGTCTATCGCGAACACGGTGAGGGTGTAGTTGCTCCGTTCGGTCGCCTTCAGAGGTCGAAGAAGGACCAATTCTCCGGTGGTGCCGATGATCTCGAAAGCCATTTCCTCTTCGCTCGATCCCAGGGTGTAAAGAACGCAGCAACGATCCGAGTCGTCGGAGGCCTCGAGTCTGAGGACGGTGGAGCCCGGTCGGCTGCTCTCGCTCAACCGGAGCACCGGGTTCGGCTCTCGGAAACGAAGTCGGCCGGGCGTCTGCTGGGACACGTGGACGTGGACGGGAACCACGGTCGACAGACTGGGCACTCCCTTGTCCTTCGCCACCACGAGCAATTCCACGACGGAGGAGAAGACGGGTGCGGTCCAGGTTCGGTTCACGTGCACGGCTCCCGTGCGGCGATCCACGTACCAACCGAGAGAAGTGGAGTCCGGATGGAGGAAATACTCCACCTCCCCGTTTCGACCGGAGTCCTTGTCCGTCGCCGACACCACCACCACCTTCGACCCGATCTCGATCGAGGCTGCAACGGAGAACGAAAACGTTAAGGGTTCCAACCTTGGATTCATCGCGGATTCGCGCGAAACCCCGTTTAAAAAAGCGGTGGATGGAGGGGAGGACGGGTTCGCGATCGCAGGTTCCTCGCCCCGTTCGGCTGCCTCACCTTCCACTTCGGCCTCTCTCGTCACCTCTGCCCTGCCCCATTCTGCCCAGGCACGAACGTAGGGTGCGGTGACGGCTGCCGCCTTTCCGTCGTCCCGAAGTACGGTCCCGTGGATTCGCCAAGGGATCGTCCCGTAAGATACGGCACAGGTGGCAGCCGACGGTAGGGTAGGAAACGGATGCAAAGAACGACGAAATCGTTCGCGACCGGATAAATTACCGGACATTTTCGTCCGACCGCAACAGTCCTGCCACCTCCCTTAGGAGTTCTAGCAATTTCGATACTGCCAACGATCGCTTCGAACCGAATGGCTACAAGAATGAATATTTTAAACGAGACGAACGCGACGTATCCTCGATGATTTTCCCTCCATCGCACCGTACGTCTCTCGATGACTCTCTCTCTCTCTCGAGCAGACGTGCATTCGGTCGTTCGACCCGCATTCCGTGGACGCGGACGACTCGGACGAATCGAAGTTCTCACCTGGGATCGGGACGATGTAGGCGTGCTGAGAGAAGACGGGAGCGTTGTCGTTCTCGTCTCGGACTCGAACGCGGACGAGGGTCTCGGCCGTGTGAGCGGAATCCGAGGCCGTCACGTAGAGGTGGAACTCGGATTCCGTCTCGTAGTCCAGCGGCCTCAGGAGGGTGAGCATCCCCGTGAATCGGTCCATGGCGAACGCCTCTCCGCCGTTCTTCAGGTCGTACGTCAGGGGAGGATCCGTGTCCACGTCGTTGGCCGTGATCGTCGTCACCAGGGATCCCACTGCCGAATCTGCACCCGCGTCACGGATCAAAATTTCGTTTCATAGCGTCTCCGCGATCCTCGACGGACGGTGCCGTGGAGTCGATCGAACGAGTCCGAACGATTCCGTTCGGATTCCAGCGAGGCCGGAACGTGTCGTCCCTCGAATTCTTCGCGCTCTTTCCGTTCTCAACCCGCGATGAACGTATCTCCCTGACACTTGTCATCGGGTGACTCGAGGGCAACAGCGAACGGTAAGCTACGGCGATGCTTCGATAGATCAGACGTCGAAAGAGGAAGCTTCGCTTGGTTTTACATTACCGGGCTCATCTCTTCGACAAAAATTACTCATAAATTAGTAAATCGACGATATATGGCTAAGAGTATGGAGTGGAATCGGATGCTTTCATCAACGCTTCGATTTCTATTCCGATTTCTCTTCCAGATCGGCGCAGATTCGTTTCAAATCGGTAAATCCCGATTTCACGACACTGGCGCTTACCCGCGTCGGTGACCGTTCGGGCCTTTCGACGGGAACATAACGTACGGGTATGCTCGCAACATCACCGAGGGGAAGATCGAAATGACTCACTCTCGCTGATGGTGACATCGCTCTGAGGAGGGAAAGTGGGTTGGTTGTCGTTCACGTCGACGATGTTGATCCTGAGGCTGCAAGTGCCCGTGCGCTGGGGGATCCCCTCGTCCGTCGCGATCACCGTGAGAGTGTAGGAATCCCTGATCTCTCGGTCCAGGACGATGTTGGTCTTCACGATCCCGGACGGGGCGGGTCCGATGGCGAAGGCGTTGTCCACGTTACCGTCGGCGATGTGGTAGGTGATGCGGGCGTTGGGACCCGAGTCGTCGTCGGTGGCCGAGACCTGGGCCACGTAGGTGCCCTTGTTGTTTCCCTCCCAGACGACAGTGGCGTACGAGACCTGGGTGAAGCGGGGATCGTTGTCGTTGTCGTCCGCGAGGCGGAGGGCGACCTGGGCGTAACCGTAGAGAGGGGAGGTGCCTTCCGTCCGAGCCACCACGATCAGTCGCATCGAAGGTCGAACTTCGTGGTCCAAGAGGCGAGAGTCTCGCACCCGCACCAGACCGTTGTTGCTGTTGATCTCGAAGGCGTTGTGTTCGTTTCCGCTTCCGAAGCTGTAGGTGATCCTCTGTCGTCGGCCGTCGGAACGGACCGCCGATACCTACGGAGCGAAAGTTTCGGTCAAGGCGGCGTCCGAAGCGAGGCGGTCGCTTCGAAACGGTTCCCAGCTTTTACTAGGATCGCGTCTCTGCCTGCTCGTTTTGCAAACGATACCCCCAACCCCTTTCCACGGTCGGCAGCAGTACTTTGGAAAACGATTAACCATCACGTTGCAGTGACCATCGGATGCATGCTACCCTCTGCCAGCAGAGAGATTCGTGCTCGCGCTTTCGCACGCGACGGCATCGACGTAGCATCGAGAGAAAATTCTCGAGTTCGCAGAGTGCTAGGCGCATTCACGTGCACGAACTCGAATCCGAGCGACCCGCACGGGAAGCAGGTGACACGGATCCGACCGAGAAGTCGTCGGCCTCCCCGCATTCGCGAAAGGAAGACGGCGATCGCTTTCGCGGTCTCTCGAGTCCCGGGAACTGACCTGGATGACATCGGTGCCCGGGGGTGCATTCTCCTGCAGGCTCACGTTGTAAATCTCTTGCGTGAATCTGACGGCCGTGACGTACGGGACGTCCCCGACGCGGATCTCCACCAAGCCCGTGGACGACTGAGGATTCGCTCCCCCGTCGGATGCCACCACCTCCAGCTGGTAGAGTCGAGCCGAGTCCGCCGCCAGGTTCCGGACCGCTCGGACGATCCCGGTCTCCCTCTCCATCTCGAACTTTCCCTCGTGATCGCCGCCCGTGAATCTGCCGGTCGAAAGAAGAAATCTCTCGAAACGGGCACAAACTCGTGCGAATCTCGAATCGAAACTCTTTAGAAACCTCCGGAGAAAAAAAAAAAGTCGAAATACGTCAGCACGACGCTGAGAAATGTCCCCTTTTACTTGGAAGAACTTGTCGGAAAATCATTCACTCGTATCATCGAAAGGACCCATACAGACTTTCGAAACGATTTCAGAATTTAAAACGGCATTCTATGCCGTTCTATGTGCATTCGAGTCGGAAAGCGAAAGGATGTCGAAGCTTGGCCTCACCGATAGGAGATGAGAGCATTCACACCCTCGTCGGGATCACGAGCGATGACCCTGAGGAGCTGTTGTCCGGCGGTCACACCCGAAGGCACTTCGGACGTGAAAGGGTATCTCTCGAACTGCGGTGCGTTGTCGTTCACGTCTGCGACGGTGACTTGGACTTGGACGTGCGTCCAACGAGCGTTCGACGCTCCTCCGTCGGTCGCTCGGACGTCGAACGTGTACACGCTCTGTCTCTCCCGGTCGAATAACCTAAGGCGCAAATTTTATCATCATTAAATGATCGTCGACAGATGAATGCACGACGAGGAGACGAGACGAGAGTTTAAACGAATAGATACAAGAACGAATCGCATCGTAACTATCACGTCGTTAAATAACCACCGACGATGACATCTCGGCCGAGAGCAGAAATCGAAACGCGAACGCCATACACGAGAGACCGAAACGGGAAGCAGCGTACCCGGTCGTGGTGATCAAGCCGGTCTCGTTGTCGACCGTGAAGAGCCACTGCGTCTCGTTGGTGAGGGAATAGGTGATGCGGGCGTTCTGACCCCGATCGGGGTCGGTGGCCTTCACGTGCAAGACGCTGGTGCCCGCCGGTGTGTCCTCCCTCAGCGTGGCGTGATAACGCGGCTGCAGGAACGCGGGCGCGTTGTCGTTCTCGTCCAGGACGACCACGGTGAGGTTACAGAGTCCTCTCAGCGACGGGAGGCCTCGGTCCTCGGCGATGATCAGGAGGTGATAGGTGGCGAGGGTCTCTGCGTCGAGGGGGCCGACCGACAACGCTCCGGTGTGGGGATCCAGGGAAAACGCGTTACCCGTGTTCCCTCCTGTGCAAACGATGAAGGCCATCGTCACGAAAACGGGAAACGAAAGACGAACGACCGTCGGTTGGATCTCGTTCGAACGTTTCGCACGTTGCCGCCGAGCGAAGGCGGCAAACGGTCTCGAGTCAAAAATCATTCACCGATATGGTTTTTTCTGGGTTTCCGTGCGAGGACGAAAACGAGCGAGCACACCGACCGAGAAGTCGTCTCTGCATCTCGTTACCGAGTGGGACGATCGCGAAGCGAGAACCACAAGCGAGGCGAGACATCGGATAGATGAGAACCGAGACTGGAACGTGGACGAAAGCGAACTACGAGGAATCTGCTAGGTGGGGTCCGCCAACTCCAATTACCGACATCCACCTCTTTTTCGTCGATGGCAATGCGAACCATGACTCGTACCTCGCGATGCTGCAGAAATTACACATACGGTTACGGAGACCGGGATACCCGATTTCCAGGAAACGGGAATTCCCGAATCGGCGTGAGAAGTGACTCCGCCCGGTAGCGTTAACGTGATGCCGTGCCCCAGACAACGTTTCGGTCGTGTTCGATATTGCTTCCACTGAAACTGAAAACAACAAAAAATCAAGCACGATTCCATTTCGTGTCTGAGTTCTGACCGAGATCGTCCATTATTTCTACGAACCGTCCGACGAGGCCGAGTTTTCAAGCACAGTTCTTGGGAAATCGAATATATGCTTATAAAACGATCGATACTCGATCGGTTTAAACCTAGCCGAAGTGATAGCAGGAAAAGTTTTGGAAGTAAATTATATTAACTTTTTTTCCCCCCCAGTATCGTCTTTCTCGAATCGAGAACGTCCGACATAAAATTTTAAAAATCTGTTTCTTTATAATCCATGATAAAGTTTCGAATCGCCTCTAAACTTTCGCATTCGTGCTCGTAATGTGGTGAATCAAGAACGGTTTCCGTCGCGTTCGAACGGATCGCGACGGCGAGAGAGGTCGGAAGATGCAAGAGCCGCTTCGGCAGAGATGCGGAGGCGGGAACCCACCCGAGATGGCATAAGACAATTGTCCGTTGGGTCCCGAGTCCCGATCCACGGCGACGAGGGTGTGAACGACGGCCCTCTGGCTGTTCTCCGGCACGTGGAGCGCGTAGCAGGAATGCTGGAATTCCGGCGCGTGGTCGTTGATGTCCAGGACGGCGACGAGGATGGTGGCCGTGTCGTGCAGAGACGGTCGGCTCCCGTCTTCCACGTACACCGTCAGGGAGTAGGAGTCCTTCCTCTCTCGGTCCAGTTGTCCGGCCGTGAAGATCTCCCCGCTCTGAGGATTCATGCGGAACTTGGAATCTCCTTGGCCCTTGGGTAGGAGGTAGGTCAGGTTCCCTCGACCCCCTAGAAAGAAGAAAACTCGGAGTCACGCGAAGGCAAGAGATGGCCTTCGAGGGAGGTCCGGATCGCCACCCACCGGAGTCCACGTCGGATGCGGACACTTTGAGGACGAAGGTCCCGACCGGAGCGTCCTCGAGGACGTCGGCCTGGAACACCTTCCGGGTGAACTTGGGGTGGTTGTCGTTCACGTCCTCCACGTGAACGGTGAGGATCCGATGAGTCGTCTTGGGCGGTTTTCCGTGATCGCTCGCGCTCGCGTTCAGCCGGTACGTGGACACCCGTTCCCGGTCCAGAGGCTCTTCCAACCACAGGATGCCTGCAAGAGAGAGACGTGGAGGTCGCGATAGGAACCGACCGAAGCGAAACGAGGCGAAGGGAGGCATTTCCTCACCGGTGTTCGCATCGAGGTGGAACGTCCCGCGCTCGTCGCCGGAAACGATCTCGTAGGACAGGCGACCGTTCTCCCCGTCGTCTTCGTCCACGGCCGAAAGATGAGCCAACGGCACTCCGACTTTCTCGTCCTCGGTGACCGTGACGGACGCGAGAGCGCGGAACTCGGGCGCGTGATCGTTGGCGTCTTCGACTCGGATGTGGACGGTGGCGCGAGTGAAGTGTCGGGAACCGGGCTCTCGGTCCCTCGCTTCCACCGTCAACCAGTACTCTCGGACGCGTTCGTGATCCAGTGGACGCAGCAGGGTGAGGCGGCCGGATCGGCCGTCGAGGCCGAAGGCTTCGCCGGGCTTCTGGGCCAGGATGCGATACTCCACCTCGCCGCCGAGACCCCGATCCGGATCCTCGGCGCTGAGGTTCCAGACGAGAGAGCCGACGGAAGCGGCTTCGCCGACCGTCAACTCGATCGGGTCTTCGGGGAACCGCGGAGCGTTGTCGTTCGCGTCGTCGAGCACGATGCGGACCAGCACGGACGAACTACCTTCGATGTTCCGAACCCGAAGCATGTATTCCGGAGTCTTCTCGCGGTCCAGGGGCTTGGTCGTGACCAGGTCTCCGGTGGCCGTGTCGATGAGGAAGCTTCCGTCCGAGTTGCCGGAGATGATGACCAACTCGTCGTTCAGTCCCGATTCCGCTCCGCCGATCTTGCCGACCACGGTCCCGACTTCCACGTCCTCCTTCACCTGTCGCGAGAGGGAGGACTCTACAGCGCCGTTCGGACTCGCCGGCGTCGAGACCGTTTCGTGATTCGAACCTGGAAATGCAGGGAAGCGGACGACGTCGGTATGCGGTCGTCGTTGAGGTTGAGGACCAGGATGGAGAGGGTGAGGGAGGATCGCTGAGGGGGATCGCCGCCGTCCCTCGCTTCCACCTCCAGCACGTAGAGATCCCGTTCGGAATGGGAGAGAACGACGGACGTCCTGAGGACCCCCGTCTGGGGATCCATCTCGAATGCCGACAGCGCCCCCACGTCTCCGTCTGCGGGAAGAATCGAACGCGTCGAGACTCGTTCCGCTTTCTGCTTCGCGCGTCGATTCGAGGCACCCACCGTGAGGTTCGAGGGCGTAGGTGACGGTCCCGTTGGGACCCAGGTCGGGATCGGAAGCCTGGACCCGGGTGACCTGCGTGTGCGGAGGCTGTTCCTCCCGGATGCTGATCCTCTCGTCCCTCGGCGCGATGAATTCCGGCCCGTTGTCGTTGACGTCGGTGACCGTGATGGCGAGCGGCACGGTGGAGGTCAACGGAGGAGAACCCGAGTCGCTCGCCGTCACCTCCAACTCGTACGCTCCCTGCATCTCTCGATCCAGTCCCGTTCGGCTTCGAATCTCGCCTGCGTTCGCGACGACGGAACGAAAGAGATGATCTCTCGGGTCGAGACGTTCCAGACCCGAACGGTACCGGAAGCGGACCTACCCGTGTTCTCGTCGATCGCGAAGGTGTCGTTGCCGGAGAGCAGACGGAAGGTGATCTTGGCGTTGTCTCCCTCGTCGGCGTCCGCTGCCTCGACCCGCCCCACCACCTGGTTCCGATCCTTAGATCCCTCTTCCACGGCGAACTGGTATCGACTCCGATGGAACTTCGGAGCGTTGTCGTTGGCGTCCAGGACGCGGACGACGACCGTGGCGGACGCGGAGCGCTGCGGGCTGCCGTTGTCGGTGGCCGTCACGCCGATCGTGTATCGATCTTTCTTCTCCCGATCCACTTCGCCCTGGAGTTCCCCGATACCGAAGAGAGAAGGCGGTACGGTACGCGATGAATTCCCGTTACGTGGACGTGACGAGATCGCAAAATGCATATTTATGAATTCACGGAGACCTTGGTCCTCCTACTGAACTTCGGGAGTCCGTGCCAAACGAACCCGTCGACCTTCGACGGACGCCGAGCTCTGTATTCCTTCGAGAACGACTGATCGCCTCGTAAAAAAAAAAAAAAGAAATTAACGAGGCGAAGAACGAAGCGAGATCCGTATAGACGTGAGAATTTCTCGCAGGTTCTTTGTGAAAAATGCCTCGGGCTCCCACAACGTACCGACACGAGCGAGTCTCTTTTTTTCCTTCCCGGTCCTTCTACGAAGGGTATTGTCGCGAGTTAATTAATCCCGACGTTGTCGGCTGCGGTTTTCGCTTTTAGAGGAATCCCGACACACGGTCGCTGGCATTACTCGGCGAATTCACGGCCCATGGTCGCCACGCAGCCGAGTGTAAGACGGGAAAGAGGGAGAAAGAGGGGGAAAGAGGGGGAATCGGAGTGAAATCACAGCCCGCGTTTCTGCTGAGCCATTCTCCGTGACTCGTCAATAATCGAGAGAGAGCGAGTATTAAAAAAAGGAAGAAAAAAAGGGACGGCGATGAGAGTTTCAAAGGCGTTCCGAGATTACAGTTATTTCCTTCAGCAGGGGACGGGGGGGGGGAGGGTTGAGTGGGGGGCCGGGGGGGGGGGGGCCG